AAGTCTGGGGCGGGCAAACTTTTTGGCCTGAGGGCCACATCGGGGTTCCAAAACTGTATGGAGGACGGGTAGGGAAGTTCTGTGCCTCACCAAATAGCCTAGCCCCTGCCCCATCTCCGCCCCACCCAGTTCCCGCCCCCTGACTGTCCCCCTCAGAACCTCCGACCCATCCAACTCCCCCTGCTCCTTGTCCCCTGACCGCCCCCTCCCGGGACCCCCCTACCCCTAACCGCCCCCCAGGACCCTCCCGCCTATCCAATCCCCCTGCTCCCTGTCCCCTGACTGCCCTGCCCCCTATCCACACCCCCACCCTCTGAAAGGCCGCCCTGGACTCCCTGCCCCTTATCCAACCCCCTCGCTCCCCGCCCCCTTACCATGCTGCTCAGAGCAGCAGGACTGGCAGCTGCGCTGCTCGGCCGGAGCCAGCCCCGCTGCCGCACTGCCCAGCAGGAGCTTGCAGCCCCGCCCCGGCGAGCTGAGACTGCGGGGGAGGGGGGACACCAGGGGAGGGGCTGGGGGCTAGCCTCCCCAGCCAGGAGCTCAAGGGCTGGGCAGGACAGGGAATTTGCCCACCTCTGTTCTAAGTTGTTCTTCCCCACTTCAGAAACAAGTAGCATAGGTATGTTCTCGGCAGGGCAAAAAGAACTAGTATCTATAAAAGGTCGTTGTTCTGATGAATGCATACAAGTACTTCACATTGACTTGAGGGAAGACAGTGCAAGATAAAGAGTAAGCCCCACATTATAGGTAAGAAATGAGAAAAAACAGATGTGTACGTTATTGTCATATCTACAGTACAAGCAGCAAATTGGTACATTGTTTTTTTTTCAGCACAGCTGCAATGGTTTATTCATTTTGAGTCTGTCCTCTCTTCTGAACAATGTACAAGAACGTGAATTTATTGACTGAAAAACAATTCACTTGAAAATTTAGACTCAGTACTATAGAATACCATCATAGTTATAAATATGGATTTAGCCAGCACTTTTCATTGACATGCATGGTTCTTTATTTCCAGGCACGCTTTGCCAGAAAACTATAAAAAGAGATCTGAAAAAACAATCTCAAGGTGCAGGCATGAAAATTCAGAGGAAGGCAAGACTCGAGATTTTTAGCTAGCTCTGAATTCTCATTTGGAACAAAAATAATAAGAAGCAAATTCTGTGTCCCATTGTGAATTCATACTAGAACATTTGATTTTGTTCATTTTATTCAGCTTTGTAAATGTAATGAGCTAAATTCATCCCCGGTGTGACACCACTGACTCCAGCAAATTTACATCAAGGATTAATTTGGTCCAACTTTTTAAAATGATGGCTTAACCAGTGCTTTACTCCTCTACTTTTCAGCATGACAGGACTCTCTTGTGTAATTTACATTTAACTGGCATTTGTTAGCTTGGATTTCTTGTTGTGCAGTGGGACCCTGTGGGCACATGTGCTGTGGAGGGTGGGAGTAGAGGAAAGGGACACATAGGCCTCCCTGGCCAAAGATGATTAGGGAAGATCTAAAAATGAAGGATCTCAACACCTACAGCAGCCGGTAACCCAGGCAAACTATGCCCTTGGAAGCATTGCAGGGATAAGATCTTCATGAGCATGTGCTCTTCTGGACTCATCCTCCAATGCATAGACTCATGATCTGTCAAGTAAATCTTATTTCTCAAGCAGGCATGTTCTATGGCTTCAGGGAGAGAAATCTTACTCCTTTTCATGAATAGGTTCTATTGATTCCCTTGTACAGTACTTCAGATTGATAGTCTACCAAAGCCCGTTTCACACTGTTGTCATTTTTTGAAGATCAAGACACTGATCATATTTTGCAATCTTCTGCATCAATAGGGGTATCTTTTTGATGTAAAAATTTATATTCTTCTCCTTGGCAACTGAACAGTCAGAATATGCCCCTTTTGCCCCGGTGTAAGAGCATATAATGGAGCTAAATACACATAATGTGGAAGCAAGGACTATCCAAAGCATAGGTGGACTCTTCTGAAGTTGTTCTCCTGGCATAAGTTAAATCCCCCAGAAATGATGCATTACACACTGGCTAAAGTTGTTTCTCTGAAGCTGATTCCCATATAAATGAATCCATTCACATTCTCTTATGTAATGGGAGCAGAGGAATTCCTCAGTCTCTATTTGCAATTTGTGCTGAAGGTCATCACTAGCCAAAACACTGGCAGATACAACTATGTGGTCATGCAACTTGGATGTTCTTCTTGAGCATATTGCACAAAAAATGTCCATAGAAATGCCCTCTACATAGTGTATGAACAAAAATGAAAAACAAGGAGCTGAAAATAATGACTTAATTTTTGTTTAATTGTCTACATTGAGCCAAACATATAAAAATACAACCCAAGTGTTTCAGCAGTGTCTTCCCCACTCTGCTTATGTAAATCAAGTATTTGTGAGTGGGACCTATTGCATAAACAGTGTTAAACATTTTAAGCAACAGTCCAAGCTACTGAAGGAACAACAAAATATGCATCAAGTTGCTTGTTACTATCTATCTATCCAGGAAACAAGATAAAACAGGAGATAGAATAAAAGCAACACATGGAATCACTATAAACCATAGCCTAAGGAAACAAAAGAGTATGAATTTCATTAGAAAAGAAACCTGAAAGTCAGAGATAAGCTAAACTAATATTGGGAAGTGGTTATTTTCATTTGTAGCTAGGGGACACTGTCTGAACACAGATACTGTGTCTTTTACAAAACTTATGGATACTGATCATGGAATACGGATTTGTGGAAGTGTGGGACATACACCGTATGAGGACGTAAAGCTTGTTCTCATTTGATTAAAGATGCAGAATCCTCTTACTAGTTTATGAGTGTCCCTAAATTAAAAAACACAGAGGAAAAATAAAAAGATCCATTTCCAGTCTGCCAGCATTATTATGGCCTCTATACCACAGCACATATTTCCTTGTGCTTTATCAAATCTGTACAATAAAATAAGTTGTGATTTTAAAAGGAAATTCTTCTCTAATTTCTAATAATCAGTAGCCCAGATTATTGCCAGATCTTTATCTGGTGTAAATTGGTATACTTCCACTGAAGTCAAAATAGCTATTCCACTTTACACCAACTGAAGATTTTTGATTGGACTTCTAGGTAACAGAATATTTCTGAGCACTGAAGAGAGATAAACATCATATCTGCACTATTGAGATTATACTGGCATAGCTATACCTGCATAGCCCCATTGTGTAGACGCAGCCTACGCTGACAGAAGGTTAGGAACACCACCTCCCCAAATGAAGGTAGGGCTTGTCTACACTTGAAACACTAAAGTGCCACAGTTGAATTGCTGCAGCTGCACAGCTGTAGTGCTTCAGTGTAGACACTACCTATGCTGACAGAAGGGGTTCTCCCATCGGTGTAGATAATCCACCACCCCATCAACAAAATACTGTCTACACTGGCGGTTAGGTTGGCTTAACTGTGCTGCTCAGAGGTGTGGATTTTTCACACTCCTGAGCAACGAAGTTAAGCCAGCTTAATTTTCTAGTGTAGACCAGAGGCAGATCTACACTACAAATTTACAGTGGCATAGCTGCACTGTGTAGCATGTCTGATGAAGATGCTCTAAGTCAATGGGGGAGAGCTCTCCCATTGGCTTAATAACTTCCACTTCTACGAGAGGTCATAGGTATGTCAGCCGGAGAAGCTCTCCTGCTGATATAGTGCTGTCTACACGGGGGGTTAAGGTCACTATAATTTTTTCAACACCCCTGAGCGACATACTTATATTGAAGTAAGTATGTTGTGTAGACCAAGCCCAAGTCTTAGCTATGTCGATGGAGGCCCTTTTCCATCGACATAGCTGTGTCTACAACGGGGGAAATCTGCTGATCGGGGTGTGGTTTTTTCACATGCCTACCTGACGTAGCTGTGCTGAGATAACTTTTCAGTGTAGACCAGGCCTTAGAATCTCTCAAGATTATTCATGAAAAGTTTAAGGCAGTATTCCCTTGAACCTCAAGGTGGTTTTATCTATCTTTGTCTCTTTTAAATAAATTGATAGAATTGCAATTCTAGATTACAAGAATGTTTTAGAAACTGATCTACAAATATCTGGGATAATACATACCCTTTATTGAAATAGTATGTATATGGCAAAATACCTGTGTGTTTATTGTGCAATAACATGTCATCAACTAGATGTTGAAATTACCCTGTAAAATTCAAAGTGCCCATTTCTACAGCTGAAGCATGGATTCCGTGGGAGTTGTGTATGCAGCCACTGTTGAATCAGAGCCTGTGGGTTTTCAATTGGAGCTATTACATTTATATTTGTTTTTCAAACAGGAACTTTTAGTTCTGGTTTTTATTACATTTTATATTAATAGTTTAAAACCCATCCTGAAAAGCTGAAATTGTGTTGGAAATAACATGGGCCAAGACCTTGGAGGTTGGAGATGATTGCACATTAGTGCTATGAAAGCAGCATTAATATGGGCTTGTATTCAAACCTATGCACTTTCATGTAGATTTTTTCATAGAATATCAGGGTTGGAAGGGACCTCAGGAGGTCATCTAGTCCAACTCCCTGCTCAAGGCAGGACCAATCCCCAGACAGATTTTTACCCCAGTTCCTCAAATGACTCCCTCAAGGATTAAGCTCACAACCCTGGGTTTAGCAGGCCAATGCTCAAAGCACTGAGCTATCCCTCCCCGCAATTATTATTATCTTGACAGGGGCAGCACTAAACTGCCGAAAATGTGGTGTGTCTGGAACTGTGGCATATGCTCTAAAATACATGGACCATACACCCTGCTCCCACCTCCTGAATGCACCTTCCCCACCAGTGGCTACTGTGGCATAAGCTTACGTGTAGAGTGAGGGGTGAAATAAGACCCTATATATGTTGGGCCTCATCCAACGTCCATTAAAGCCAATAGGAGTCTTTCAATTTATTTCAATGGGTTTTCCATCAGGCCCTTTCCAAGGCTATTTTGTAAGTTAATTTTGTGAAGATGACTTACCATACCACTCATCAACCCATGCAAAAGCCTGTCGGTGACCAATCATTAATATATCTCTGACCACCTGTGAAATAAGGAAAAAAAAGGTTTTAAGTATCTTGTGTAGTAAAACATTATAGAAAAATAAACTATAGTAACATCATGGTCTCTCTATAGGGTAGAAGGACAAACACCCTGAACTTTGAGACTCTACACTGATCTATGGTGACATACACAAGAAGGGGACATTTGGGAACTGTACAACGAATATATTAATATTTGGGCAAATAGACTGGAACTCCTTTCCCTTCTATCTTAAAATGGAACCTGTTAATTCTTTTCACACATGAGAGGTCAATAACCTTCCAAAATCCTACCAATGTCTGGACATTAAAATACCTGGAGAAGACCATTTGATAATTGTATCATTAAATTAATAAATATTTGGACAAGTGGAATGTATAACTTTCCCACCACTTGTAAAAGCTGTAAGATAACCTGGATGTTATTATTCTGTGAAGGTTACTCATTTCTAATTACAGATTTTTAAAAAAATCTTTGAAAAAAATATAATATACAAAACTTTGGTAGGAGAATATATAGAAAATCCTATCCAAATTATGAAAAATTCAGGCATTTTTCAATAAAAAAGAGATTGAATTTGCAGAATAGGAGAAGTGTTTGCAACTGTGACTTTATCATCTTGGAACTCTGTACATGCCCTGAGATATCTGGTTTGAGAAGAAGGACCCACACATCCAGTAAAAATGAACAATAATATACACTTCAGAGTGAAGCATGCTAAACGTCAGGAAATCAAATGAATGGTGCAAAAGGCATCAGAACTATTGCAGTAAGTCCAACGCAGTTGTGTAGAAACTGCCATTCAGGGATATCTTAATATTACGCTAACGGTCCAATTCTGATCTCACTTACACTGGTTTCTTACTGGTGTAACATTGTGACTTCAGAGGAGACACTCTTGATTTACATCAGTGAGACTGAGGTTAGAATGAGACTCTAAATCTAAGGAGTGGGCTGAGACTGCCACGGTTTTTGTTCTTAGTATTATGAAATTGGCAGATTAGCATAATGAGAATTTAATGAGCTTTTACTGCATCCAGATAGCTAACCATTAAAGCCAATAGAGCTGTCAAACTGAAGTACCTGTTTGGCCTCACGTTCTGCTCTCTCAGTACATTGGGAGTAGCTACACTGATGTCAATGGTGTAAAATCAGAGTGAGTGAGGTCAGAGTCAGACCCACAGTGTTTCTTTAATTGTGGTAACATTAAATGAACTGCTGATAAAGTGCAATACAGACTTTAAAAGCTTCAAGTAATGAAATGACAGGAAAAAAAATTTCAGTCTAGAAACATTGTATTGTATTCATCTAACAGTTCAGAATTGTTATGATAAAGCTGTTGTCATTGGCACAAATATTATTTTACCAGCAATGGAGGTCTCTTGGGAAAGGATGTTGTTAGTTCTGCCCACATAAGGATCACAGCATTGGAGATGTTATTGCTAGCTGTACTCAGAGATGGGCGAAAAACTAAGCCTTGGATCTGAATAACTCGAGCCTTTGGGGAAGTTTGTATCCAGAGATTAATTTTACAGCTGGGCCTCTTCTCTTTAATTGACAGACGAAACCCCCAGATCCAATCGCCCTTGAATGTTAAGGAGGTTTGGAACCAGATATAAACCTGAACTCCCTGGCTCAGACCCATCTCTAGTCCTATTCATGTGCAGGTCAGGATAATGCTCTAGTTCCACTTGTGCTCTAGCCCTTCTCCTGTGCAGGATAACAGCATCACTGACCTTATGTACAAATTGTTCTACTCTAGTTTGAAGTCCCCAGACTTCAAATTTCACAGTCACCAGTTTGTAGGAGCACATGATCGGCTGGTGTGTCTCCCTCCAGCCTTCTTTTAAGAGGCCTCTCCCCGTCTTCTCTGACTTGAAATGTTTAGGATCCTGCAAAGCAAGGAGAACCACGATTGAAAAACCTTGGCTGAAAAGTCCCCATTTGTTAGCTTGTTAATGCATCTGTTTTAAGGCACAGTGGAATCATGCTAATAAACACTAAGTAAAAATAACACAATTTGCTAAATGAATGGCAGGATATAAGAAGATACATGAGGCCAAATACTAGTCTGTTACCCAACTGCCAGTGCACTGATAGGAGCAGTAGAAACTTGGCGATGCTGTGAAGCTCATTTGGCACAAAAGACATTGTGCCTTGGCAGGGCATGATGCTACAGGTCATTCTAGTACAATGCATTATGAGGCACTGTTTATTGCTCAAGGAGCAACAGGTCTATTTCCAATGAGACCTGCTAGTGTATTCTATATTGGCAGCATACATACACAACTGACTGTGGTCCAGCCACACCTCTATTCCTGAAAACCATCTTTCTTTTGGTATATCACACCCACAGAACATGGCAGATCTGCCAGCACACTCTTGTGGGTTATCGAAGGGTGTCAGCTGGACAGCCCCTTTGCATGCATCACTACTGCTGAGAAGATCTGTGGCTGACTGTACTCTTCCTCTTCCATACCCACTGCAGAAGTTAGCTCAGTGTAATGCACTAAAGTGAAAATGCAGGGAATTGCTCAACCTGGAGTAGCAAGGGAGCCAGATGGGTTGACTCCTGTTGAATCTCATCCTTAGCTATAAACCAATTAACTATTGGAAGTTTAAAGTAAATGTAATGGCAGGGGAAAATATCCAACGTGGTTTTTTTTAAAATTACAAAAACTCTCGTACAGATTATGTATAAAGAAACTAGAGAAGGGAAAGCAGAGATTCCCTTGTGCTGTATGTCTGCACTTTAGAGCTGGCATGCTAAAAATAAAATGTGTAGTTGTGACAGTGCAAGTAGCAGGAAGGGCTGGCTGCCCCAAGTATGTACCTGTCTGAGACACTGGGCACATACTCATGTTGGCTAGTGCCTTCTGCCATTCACATAGCTCAATCAGTTAGCATGGGTAGATCTCCTCGATTTGGGAAGTACACCCCCCAGTTTGAAGACACTGTATACGTAAATCCTGCCTGTATTTTATTTTGGGACCGTCTCTGCACATCATTTGGATGGAAAATAAACAGAAAAAAGTCAAGGGTAAAAAACAAAAAACAAAAACAACAACACAGCCAAGCTTCATTATCAATGTGTTGGAAGCAGAGTTACTCACCTGTGTGCTCCTTTATGAATTTATCAAAGGCCTTATCATCTACTGCCTTAGAGCTTGTGTATTCATTTATAACTGTAAAGTGAATGCAAAGAAGCCATAAAATGCTACAATCTTGATTTGGTAGCATTTTACATGCACTTTGCGCAGGTGTCAATGACAACACAAGTCATGAGGGCAGTGAAGAATCAGGGTCCTAATGTTCAAACCAACTGGGAGCATTGGAAAATTATAAAGAACTCTGTCTGAGGTTGAGGAAGCAAGTTAGATACATTTTAAGTCTATGAGAGAACTACATTATGCTTATAATCAGCAGATGGTAAAGTGTACATCATCTGTTTGAAGGGCTTGACAATGAACTTGTATATTACTGGTTGAGCATGAAACTTTACCAAGTTGGAACCTCCAGTAACAGCTCAATCATGGTACCTTTGGACAAAACCCCGAAGGGACTGTAATTTCAACACCAGCTATTTGCTTTTCCAGAAAGTCAAGGAAAGCCAAGAAGTATGATACTAAATATATTGTTTGATGGGGCAGTAAAGCCAAGACAATTGCTATTGAAAGCAAAGACATTACATCCAGTCTTGATTCTTAAAATGAAATAGCTTTCCAGGTTCTCAAAACTCATTGCACATGTAATAAACTGTATTTTAAAAATAGGGATGTTTTGGAGATATGGTCATGAGAAGACAGCCAACTTGTCTTCAGGGTTTATTTTAAACAACACAAAAGGATGCCCTTGGTTTAGGTAGGACAGAAAAGAAACACAGAGATTAGTTGCTGTTTATTTGCATTAGTTTGTTAATTTCTATGTATCTGGCCTTATGGCTATACCTGCTAATTGCACCTTCTTGGACAGGATTTACAGTTCAGTGTCCATTTTCAAATGAACAAGAACAGGGAAGTAATAATGAATTTACATTGCAACTCCTTGAATCTACACTCAAAATCAAGTTCAATTGTGCCCTACTCCCTGAGACCGTAATCCAGGAAAGTTTGTGCTTAAGTCCAGACTATTCAGAAAAACACTTAAATATGCACTTCACTTTAAGCACAAGCTTCAGTGATGTCCTGAAAAGAGGCTGAATAAAGATGAGCTAGGGAAGAGGCAAAATGGTGAGACTACTCTGTTTTTATTTCCTGACACTCACTGTGAGCTTCTCTCTCACTTTGTGGCTAACTATAAACATTAAAAAAAGAATACCACCATGACTTGGCTTGTGATTTGATTCATAAACTGAAGCTCAACCATGAACCTTTCTGGTTACTAAGCTCAAATGAAGAGATGTTCTTTCCATCTTTCTGAAAATCATTACTTTCACATCCTTCTCTAAATGTGAGTGCAAATACTCTGCTTTCAACCCTAGACCACCATAAAAAACAAATCAGCTCCATCACATGGCAGAGTAACATACCACTTCATATCACAAATCACAGTCACAATGTTTGCCCATCTTCTCATTGAATAAAGCTTGACCTCAGCTTGGTCTAGATATTTGAAAAGAACTGTTATATAACTCATAATTGCCTGAAGCAAACAGTTCAATAAACAAATGTAAGATGTGGAATTCTAATAGATGGAGCCACGAATTTAGAAACAGTTTGCAGCAACAATGTAGAATGATTTCAAATATTCTGGCACAATATGCATGCAGTAAATAAGTATTCTTCTTCGAGTGCTTGTTCATGTCAATTCCAAACAGGTGTGTGTGCACCACATGCACGACAGCAGGAAGATTTTTCCCCTAGCAGTATCCGTAGGGTCGGCCTGGATGCCCCCTGGAGTCGCGCCTTCATGGTGCCCATTATAGGGCCCTGCCAACCCGACCGCGCCTCAGTTCCTTCTTACTGCCTGTGATGGCTAGCTGGAACTCCCCGTTGCTCTTGCCTCGGCAAGCACGTGTTAGCAGTGTTTGTGCATAGAGTTGGTTAATGTTAGATAGTGTAGTAGGTTTTTCCTTCGGGGGGTGGGTCCCCCCACCAATGTTTTTCCCCGGCACCGGGTTATGCCTTGGTCTCTGGGCTTTAAACCATGCTCGGATTGTGGCAGGTTTATGCAAAAAGTGACCCGCACACTTTGTGCTTGAAGTGTCTCAGCGAGGGGCATCTTAGAGACAGGTGCAAAATCTGTAGAAGTTTTTGCCCCAGGACTCTTAAAGACAGGGAGCAGCGCCTCTGAGTGTTGCTTATGGAGGCAGCACTTCGGCCTCAGTCAGAGCCAGGCACGGCAGATCCGGCTTCAAGTGCCGCATCCTTGGTGCATAGCGCTCCAGTACTGTCCATGCATGAGCCGGTGCCGAAGAAGGACTCTGCTAGAGACCCTCGGCACCGCCATGGCTCCGCCCACAGGCCCCAGACATCGGTGAGGCACCGGTCACACTCCCCAGTGCCCCACAAAAGGGAAAAGGCTGACAGAGGGTGACTGTGTCACCGACCAGTTGGCCAACAAGCCCCCATCGGGCACCCATTCGGTGGGGATTCCATCGACTCCTGTCCAGAGACTAGTCCAGTCGAGTCTGAACCAGCACTGCTCACTGGTGCACCGCCACAAGACCTCCAGCTCCCCTCCACACCGGAGGCGTTCGAGGCAGCAGCGGAACTTTTGGCACATATAGCACCAGCCTCACCTCCTAAGTGAGAGATCACCTGCACTGGTTCCGGGCCCGGTACATTCCGTGGGCAAACTGGCGATGATGTCAGCCATAAGACCACCAACCCCATTGCATCAGCCTGTGGCACAGGTGACCCATGTGGGTGAACCGCTCCGGTCCCCCAGTTGATACCGCTATCGCTCCTCTGTGGTCATCACAGTCTGAGACCTCAGAGTTGGAAGTGGCGTCGTTGTGCTCGAATAGGAGCAGAAGATCCTGCTGCCAGTGCAACTGACAACCCTACCTGGCACCGTGGCTGGGCCAATGGCAGGCTCCTCAATGGCCACTCTGGACACCCTGGGCCTATCACCAGAGCTAGAGCTCCAGAGCGGCATCGGTGGCCTCAGCTTCTTTCGGGCCGGGCATCCAGGTGGGGACACACCTGCTGACGTCAATGGTCTCAGCTCCAATGGCACCATTGACGACCGTGGCACCGATCATATCATTGGCAACTGGGGTGATGTTTGCAGCACCGCCCTTGGCACCGATACCAGCACCACTCGTGATGCCAACCGCGGCATTGTTGGAGGCACCAGTCCTGATGCCAACTGTGTCACTGACCATGGCACCGGCCACAGCACTGACTGTGACTCTGGCCACGGCACCGACCGCAGTGCAGCTGCTCCTTGCCCCATGGGACCCCAAGGGGCCGAGGGGGCAGGGAACAGGCCCCAGTACCGACCAACATCTCATCTTCCTCATCGCCGGATGATGCGGTGATGGGTTCCTCAACCATTCCGGCCTTAGAGGACACTAGGGTCCTTCAGCATCTGCTGAGATGGGTGGCCCAGAACCTTAATATCAAAACTGAGGATGTGGTGGAGGCGGCCAATCTGATGGTCGACATCCTCTCCTCCCACCCCCCGGGCCATCCCGTATTGCGCTGCCGCTGATTAAAACTTTCAGCAATGCCACTAAGACTCTGTGGCAAACCCCGTCCTGGTTGCCTCTGACTGCTAAAAGGCACAGGCAGAGGTTCTGTGTGCCCTCTTGAGGATACGAGCATTTATGCACAGTGTCAGCACACATTGTTAAAGACTTTGGATAAAATATTCAAAAGTGCCTATGTGTCTTAGGAGCCTAAATCCCATTTTCAAAAGTGGCATAGGCTCTTATGAGCCTAAATCT